CTGTTTGGAATGCAAACGGGAATGTCAATTTTACGTTAAATTTACGTAAAATTTACGTAAAATTTACGTTAAATTTACGTTAAATTTACGTTAATTTTACATCACCGTTTACGTATCACAGAGGTGACATTTCTGCAAACATGTTTACATTTTCTTGACAATGGTTTGCGCAAAAATGATATAAAATGGACAAAAAGTTTACATTCATTTTACGTAAAATTAACGTAAACATGCTGCTTGGGAAGGTGGGGGCCGTATGAAACCCTTCAGGGGTGCTTGGGTTCATATTAGCACATTTTACATGGTTGCCCATGCGCAATTTTCCAGAAGTGCTTTCAATGACACTAATGTATTATTGCTACACTATTGCTACACAAGCACCTCCTGATTGTTCCTTTTCTCTCCTTCCTTTGTGTTCGATTTGTTTTCGCCAGAATCTGAAGAGGGAGACACTTGCTGTAAAATATGTCGACTGCGATGATGCAAGGGCTGCGTAACGTTATCGCCGTCGTAGGCCCAGCAATCTCAGCAAAGGCAGGCCTGGAACTTGCAGGCCCACTCGAGAAATAGGAGACTCACCCACATGAAAGAAGAGTTCTGAGATTACGTTATCAGGCCTATGATACTCCCCCAGAATTATTAGGCCTCTAGTACCATGACTGCCTGCCACCATGATCACGACAGCAAGAAAACTCGGATGGGAAATTATGAAAATCCCATTGTAGTGAATGGAGAAGAGCCACCGCGGACTCAAGAAAGATGGCCCAACTCAATTGCCCGAAAACCATTGCATTGTGCGCCATCTCAAGTTCTACAGAGTGCGCACAAAGTCCGTATACCACTTATATGTACGTCAAGCTGACGCGAGTAATCATGCCACGTTCGTGCTGGTGACCTTCGCACGACCTTGGCACGTGTTCTCCCGCTGTCACAAGGTCTGCTTTCGTACGTACCAACAATCACTGAGACCACGAAGGAACACATACGGATGTTTTGGATTCCTAAGAGGTACGTTCCACCTTTGGTGATACGTATATATAGGGGTATGCGGACTTTGTTCGCTCTCTGTATTTCTTATCTCAGTGGTTCCAGCGCCTCGCACTAAAGAGAAGACGGCCTCTCCATTTATACACATTCCATGGAAATACCTCTTCATATGTGAGTGACGATAATAATGGCTAGAATCACTTTCCGTGTTGTCATCTTTGAATTAAACCATCCTCTCTCTATCGTTGTAGCCAGAGCTCTTTGGAAACTCGATTGACTGGGTTACCTCTAATGACGGATTTATTCAAGAATTCGAGAATCTTACGCTATGGTTCATGTGGAGAAAGATCGGCCACATTGGGGAAAGTATTGATGACTAATTCCAGCTGTAGCAGGAATTGCCTGGCCATGGCGACTACTATGGCGCCATCTAGCGTCGGTTTTGGGAATCTTTGCTTTAAGCCAGCGTCAGATGGATAACATTGACATGCTTCGTGAAAACATCTTAAACGTTCGACGAATGCTCTTCAAATGCAGCATGTTTAGAGGGTGAAAGACACCTTCATCGTGCGACAAAAAGGTGCTCATTGTGGTACACTAGATGTCCAATTACCCTTTTGAAAAAAATGTTGAGCTTTCTTGAAAACGGTACTTGGACAATGTCATATGTATGAGGCCTGCAGGTCTCATTTGACACGAGATAATCTTTGGTACTCGATCAGTGAATGGAGCGAAGGAGGCGAATGCGAATTGAGGCGGAGAAAAATAAAATAAGATTCAACGGACAGCACAGCGACGATCCGCAAATCACCATATCGCTCTAAATATTTTTGCAAGAACCTGGCTCCAAAGAGAATACCTGTATTTTCTTGCCATCTACCTATGTGACAGTGATACAGGAAAACAATCCAACGCTTTGAAAAACTCTCACTCTTGGAGACCTCTTTGGATCGCTCATAAAATTCTGCAAATTGTATTTAGAAACAAAACAAACAATGGAATTATGGTGATGGGTTTCTTTGCGAAAGCCCGTGTGAACGCATGTGGTGCCGAGCTGAGGAATCACCTGGTATTTCGTCATGGATCCTTGAAATCCGTGGATTCACGGCAGCAGGCGGGAGGCACTGCTGTGTGTGATGCCAGCAGCCCCTTTCGAGAACAACGGCAAATCTCGTTTCCTAGTTCATCCGGAAGATGGCGGGACGAGAGCTAATATACGATTTGCAATGAAAATTGCCTTCCTCCCCATTCTTATGGCTGATTTGCATATTTCATTTCGAAAAGGCACATCCTCGGATTGCAAGGAAGAGTTCTGTTGACATTCCACGTTCATATCTTGTAGCGTTTGGCCTGTAGAGCTGTTACACACACACACACACACACACACGCACAAACAAACAAAGAAATTGTTGCTTAGCCTAGTTAGCGGCCAGAATCGCGCAGGCTATATCTTTAACCTCCGGACCTCGGTTGTTTCGCAACCAAGGTCCTCCGGTTTGAGAAATCAGATCATAGCGGGAGTGTCCAGTGTGGAAACGGATAGGCTGGAGGGAATTCGGCCGAAAATGTGATGATGCTGGGATGCACATCGCATACCGCATCACGATAACTTGTAACGCGTTGGCATACAATGGAATGGGCGTCCGATATCAAGCATGCTATTTAATCGGATGCAGATATTGTAAACAATAAAAAGTCTGCCCAGGAGTTCTCTGAATGAACTTGCTCCCCGAAAAATGAATTTCCTCTTTTCTCCAGACATCATCCTGAAAAACAATATCTCTGCTTTCTTTCTTCCCTGTAATGGATGTTGCTTCATCAACTTCTACATTTCCTTGACGCATAAATAAAGAGTTTTGGTATTCCCTTTTTTTAGGAAGACGGTGACATGACCGTATTGCAAGGCATTTAAATGAGAGATTTTGGCATTTTGGCTGTGTTTCAGACCTTGAAGGGAGAAGGAGGGGTGATCGACTTGAACAGATCTAAACACAGACGATGCGCAAACTACAGCCAATCCGAAGGCATTTCCGTTTCTTCCACATGTTAGCTACTATATGAGAAAATTGTATGAGAAATCATCTGGCTTTGAGCTGAACTTAGGTAAGAGATCGGACACACTCCTCGTTCGCCGTGTATATGCAGAGGCAATAAAGTGATACTATTCCTCACAGGGTTGTATTGGTCGCCTATTGTATTGGTCGCCTACAAATTCAGGAATTTCATCCTTCGACCTTGGAAATACTGTAAGTTCCCATTCAATGACATCAATATTCATGCAATCTCTCTCTTCGTTACGTTTGCAGGTAGGCCTATTTCAGAGTATGAATCGAATGCTGCCATTCTATTCACAATGCCTTCAACAGGACACAGTAAATCATTCGCAGTCCAAATTAGAACTGTCGCAAACAATCCTACGACGTTGGGCCAACGTTTACGTGACTCTCGAAGCGTTCATGATTATTTGATCTTCGAGTCCCGATCAACTTCCTGGAAGAACGGTTGGAAGAGCCCCTCCACATCTTAGACCTATTCCTTGTGCGTTTTAAAACAGCGGGGGACATAATCATCAGTGACGTCGTTGATTTATTTCATAATACCATGCATATGGAGAGACTGGTAGCAAGAATCAATGAAAATAATCCTAAAATATAGTTTCTCCCTATTGTATGGTCTATTGATCTTGAGTTTGTCATTTCTTGGATTTGTCCCGGACAACGGTGGTCACATGGATTTGGCCTAATCTCAATAAGAAGTCACAAGACCAAACAATATCAGTTAAAAACTTTTATTTTGGTTGTCTACCTTTCCTTTTCGCTTCACTTATGCTCCCCAAAAATCCAAGCATACACAGAACGAAATCAGTGTGTCAAATGACGCACAAAGGTGGGTCCAGGATCGTCTGGGTGACACGGAATAATGTGTCATGAGTTTTGACGCACTGAAACATGTCTTTTGGCACATTTTACTGCATCAGTAGACACATTCAAATGTGCCCATCCTCATGACACGTTATTCCGTGTTGCCAGGCCATAATCCAAACGTATCAATGGACATACACTGTGTAATGCAACACAATTGCGCGTTTCCGTTGGGATCATAGAGTGTACAGTATATAGATGGAGAGGCCTTCGTTGCCTCGAGAGATACAAGTGCTTCCCCCATCTTGGGACGGTTCCGCATAACGTGATTGGTTGGGTGGAGGTCCCCCAGGCATGTAGCTCGGAGCAAGTTGCCCTCCCTCTCTCCATTTGTCTGCTATGAAAAACCTTGCTTGTGTGACTTCAGGAAGATGGCGGCCGCACCTGGAAGGGTGCAGCGCCCACGCCATAAGGGAGACCTCTCCATTATACACTCTGTATGGTTGGGATAGTCTCCCCTCCAGTGTGTTATTTGACACATCTTACTGCATCTGTAGACGCGTTGAAATGTGTCAACGCTTCTGACACATTTTATCACAACCGATATAAAGAATTCTCTCATGACACATATACGTGGGTCAAATGGCATACTATATCGTGTCGTTTCTCTCTGTGCAGGAGAAGGCAGCTTATTCTTCTAAAATATTACACGAATTTAATTTTGTTCCTGTTTTTGTCGTACTGTCCTGTTTCGTAGATCATTCGATGTGTCAAGTGTAAAAAAGGCCTTTAGGAAGTTCCTGTTCAAACTATTGACTTACTACTAATGACTTCATGAGGCACATGGTAAAAATGCAGTTGCGACGAAACATTTTCTCCCAGTCCATCCTGGCGGTAGCCAAGAAGATCCGGAATTTTCTCAGAGTAGAAATAGTTCAGTGAAAATTGACGTTTCACACTTAATAATTGCATTTGTTAACCTAAATTATGAAGTATATGGACAATTGGGGAGTAAATGACTACAACTTCAACAAATTTCAACATGTTGAGTTCTGTGCAAATCTTCCTTACTTCACGCACGGCGTACAAAATGACGCGTAGGAAACGATTCTTCCTAACAGTAGACGCGCCTCAGTATGTGGCAGATCTACTGTCGACATAGCTCGCAAGAGGAGAGCATTTTTTTTTAATAGGAAAACCTCCATTTCATGCATGATGACGCTGTAAGGCACCTAGATGCGCAAATATGGATATTACTGGTTACTTTTGAAGCCCATGGAAGAAACAGGTGAAAAGGAACCCGTGACGAAGGAGGCTTAGGAGGCATCATGGAATAATCGCGCAACTTGTATTCAGCTCTGAATGTCTAGGAGATAATATATCCCTCGGAAAAGTTTGACGGATTAAGATGATGAAGCACTAATCTCTTGTCAACAAAGCTACATTTTCGCCAACGAAAACTGCCTTGGAAATAAGGGAGAGAGTCGAAAAGTTCACACATTGCCCTTCCGGAAATTGACGTGGGCTCGTGGAATCATTCTGATAGGTGAGAACGCCTCGTGCGTATGTGCGTGATGTTGCACGCCTCCAGGTTGGGATTCTTCAGGAAATGACTCTTGATATTGGACTCCTTCAGGTTGGAATTTTCCAGTGGCAGCTGGCAGATATTGTACCCCTAAAGGTTGGAATTCTCCCTGAGCATACTCTTGAGGTTGCATTCCTCTAGTTTGGAGTTCTCCTTGGACGAATTGAGTGTGTGAGACTGCTCCATGTTGCATCGGATTTCCAAGTTCCTGAAATGTCATCAACCACCCTGATTTTCATCATGTACGATATGTGAATAACTTAAATACGTAGTACTGTGAAAACCAAATTTCAAAGGTTTTAACTTTCTTCAACCTCAACCCAACCTCAACGTCAACATCACCCTCCAGTCCACCCTCTCTCCTTCTCTACGGAACTCACTAATGTTAGGCCTATGTCTAAACGATGGATGAAGGCCTTTTTTCAGGTCAGACCTTTGTTAATTGAAAAGAACTCAGTCCTCGACCTACGGACTTTAGGACCACTTAGGCCTAAAAGGATTAATCCCTGGTCTTCGAGACACGTCGTTGAGGACATGCAACGTTAGGCCAATGGCATGCCTATTCAATCTCGTATGGGCCTTTTACCAGAGAACATGTAACGTTAGGCCGAATATAGGTGTGTTTCTAGATTCACGAGTTTTCATTTTGGTGCGGATGAGGAACATTAGGCCTATCCAGAGTTCCTCGAACCGTCTCGACTCTTTTCGAGAATAATATGCCTTTAGAAAGCATGACATACAAGCAGACCGCAATCATGTTAATTTACGGTTGTCCGAATGAGATACCACCGTATCGATCTGTCACTGCTAGCCACCATTTCAATTTCAGCTCATTTAATGAATTCTACACAAAATTATTACATACATTGAAAAATAGAATATCTAGAAATTGATAATAAGGCCGAAGAAGTCATGAATCTGGAATAACGATGGTACGATATCTGGCAATACTAGAGGCAGGGGCCAGAGCCATCGCGTTAAGCCTAAATTGACGGCGTCTATTTTCTTTATTTTGGCGAAATGGTGCTCTGGACGCAACAAAAAGGACACTTTTCAATCACTTAATCACTTCACACTTAATCCAATATCTTTCGCTTGATAGGTCTCTTTCCTCTGAGAACCTCCCAGGAGCGGCTGCCCAGGGATGGAGAAAAAATACCGGAACGAAATTGACATATCCGAAAAACGAGATCCTGTGATCTCCACAACCATGTTGAAGCTTCAAATTTGTTGGATCGAATCTGTGTTGAGGGAGGAAGAAGTATGCCAAATTTCGTTCCTTTGATTTTCACAAGGAGGAATAAGAGACGGTTGAATTTTATCGACGGAAGGGGTTGAGGAAAGGTAATGGACGCGGTAGCGCCCATTGATACCAGGTTATTAGAATTAGTCGACCATTTGCAAGGTAGCATCTGAGAATGAAGTGATAACAATATGCTTGTAAATCTAGAGCAGGGGTGGGAACATATGGCTCATGAGCCAACTTTGGCTCACGAGCCGTAAAGTTTGGCTCATTGAACCATTGCTAAAAAAATCATGATTGTTTCTCACTTGCAAAATGTATAAAAGGATGCGCATGTCTGTTGGTAACTTCAAGGAAAATTCAGTTGTTCTGAAAATCTTTCGCTCAAAAGCACTTACCTCAATCACATGGCCAAAAAGGTACCCGACCCCAGATCAAGAGGATAATATTCGTGAGTTAAGCGCTAACGAATCTGAAGTTAAAGTTTTTTTCATAGTTTCCTTTTGCTTTTAAGATCAATTTCCACTCAAATCTTTGATGGGAACTGACTACTCTTGCCAATCTCTAATTTAAAGGAGGAGTTTGAGATTAAGTACGAGAACTGCACACCCGGACTGAAGTATTCTTGTAATTTTTCACATTTAAATCCCTTGTGCAAGGAGTATATCATGTTACCTTGAAGTGGCGGTAGACGATAGTATGCATTCTCATTGCCACAGCAATTGGAAACATGAACATGAAGAATATGCCAGCGATAAGTCCAGATTCCAATTGGAGTTGAATGGCAGCGATGAAGATGATTAGGAAAATTATTAGAGCAGCTATCAATTGCAGAGCAACCACACACAGCCATGGAATCATCAGCATCCTCTTCCTCTGAAATGTTCACGAAAACATACTCTGAGGCCAAATATGACCTGGAGAGACTCAACCAACTTTACTTTCGTCATTAGGCTGCTATTTTCTTTTTTTTTCCCAACTTCAAGGATTTGCTTTCGCTCTATATCCCATGAAAAATATTCGATACTCATGCATCTCCTCCCCCCCCCACCCAAAAATGTTGATATTGAACAAGTATTGATTTGAATTCTCCATCTTTTATGTTAAAAATCTGAAGCTCATGATGCGAAACATGCGGGAAAAAACGTGTTGAAACAGCTGAATTAGAAATTCATATTCATGTGTAATATTAGAGCATATTGCAATTTTTACATCTTTAGAGACTAACCATGCGAATCCCGTACATGAGCATGGAATCAAGGGTGATCATCACGACAGAGTAGCACATGGCGCCTATCATCGCTCTGTCGAATGCTGAAAGGAAAAGCAAATCATGGTGGCATAAGGAATCGAAGGGAAGGCTCCAATAAATTTGTAAGAAATGATATGTACATCGTATTGGATGGAAAAAATCGCATTTTTAAATGCTTGACCCACCTTCTTTTGTCCAGAAACCGAGGATAACCATTGAAAACTCTTGGACTTGATTCAATAAAATCAAGAACGTGATGCCAAAGGAGATATCGAAAATCTGCAAATATAAAAGTTATCAATTGTAGCTGGAGTCAGACCATGGCAGCTATTCATTGGTAAATATATATTCCGTTTCAACAGAATGTTGTACTAGGGTGGCATACTGAATTTTACCTGAGGATGCATATGCTCCTAATAAAACAGGATTTGGACATTGCAAATGTCACTTTCATTTGTTTTAAATTTTCTTGTAATGGAACTTCTGGAAAAATGAAATATATAATTTTTGACCGAGATATAGCAACTGAATCTGGAATTAGCCTTCATCAGGAATATAGGAGTTTCATTCATTCATCAGGAGTTTGTTTATGGTTCGAGCTTTCGGCAATTCTTCGGCAATTCTTCTTCGACAACAGGGGGTATCAAGGGTTTCGAATGGTATATGACCCTAGAATTTTGTTCCAAAAATGAAATGAAATGTCATCCAGGTCAGGTCCATAGTCAACTCAGAAAAAAAGTAAAATAAGTTTGCACATCTAAAAAATAAGGAGAAAGGAGTGAGATTTTATTGATGAAAATCTGTTTAGAAACCTGGAAGGAGTTCACTGGACAAAATCCGGTCCAACAGACAAATGCAGGTCGTTATGTATGTACACGCAAAACTCTTTTGTCCCAATTACGACACACTTCGGATGTGCCAAAAGGTGTGTCGAATTTATGACACGTACGTTTTGTGTGAAAAGGTCTCTGTGTGAACTACATAATTTCGGCATTGCTGCGCAGATTAGCTGACTGTCGATAGTTGCCATCAGGTTATAATATGAGGTCAACTAACGTTCCATTCGAAATAGATGATGAGCTGCTGCACGCTGCTATACGTAAACTTTTGGTGTCGAAGTGACACATTATATTCGTATGGTCTTTTGAACACAATTCGTTTTCATGTTATAATATTCGACACACCTTTTGGTACATTTCCAGCGTGTCATAATGTGGGCAACCACTTTCGTGTCAAAAAAGATGTATGTAGATTCTTTCATAGTTGGTCATAGTTGGGCATGCAATTAGCCAGGAGAAATTTTATTCAACGCTTCCTGCCAGAACAACCATGGTTCTTTTGATGTCTGGAAATGAGTGGCATTATAATGTAAACGGCAAAGAGCTTACTTTCATGGTGTGAAGTGTCACACTTCGCATAGAGCGCGGTAAAAATTGAAATCACTGTTTGCATTTGGCTCAAATGCGTCGTTACTGGACACGGAAAACTTATGCTTCAGATCAAGAGTTGGCATTCTTCATGAGCAGACACTAAAGGTTTGCCAATCAGATTAACGGCATTAGTTGCGTTATATTTTAACGCGTTTGTGGATATGCGCGAATGCATTTCCCGAATCTGAATTTACTTGTATCGCGTATTCAGTGATTAGCAAAACTCGTCCATTGTTCGTGGTTTTGGTATTAATAGGCTAATGACTTCATGAATACCCAATCAATCCGAACCATGTTAGAGGAAGGATATTCCTTTTTCTGTGATTTCCAATAACCATTAATTTTGTCTGGAGCAAGTGGCTAAACATGGAGGGATAGGCTCTCTAATGTGTGTGTCATTTGGCCTACTTTTGGGGTTTATGTTCACTCTGACGAATCGCCATTTGCAAATCGAGGGACACTCATTCCGGCTTCACCAAACTTACTTAAAATTTTCCCCGATTGAGTTTCGAATCATCCCATGAACTCATCCTCCAGTTCGTTTCTGAGTGCCTTGTGCGAGGAATTAACCTTTCTTCTAGGTCCTCACATTAACTTGATGGAAAATTATCGGAGAGGAAATAGCGACAATAAATTTTTACCAAACGTAATGTGCAATCCTATGAAAGAAATGAACAAAAGAAACGAGATTCAAATCATGAAAGAAGGAAACAAAATAGGAACGTACCAGCCACAGCAGAGCCACGATCATGCTGGAAGTTCTAATGCTTGGAAACCAGGACATGGTCAATTTCTTCACAAATGCCTCGCTCAAGAAACCCTGTAACACAAATAATTTAATTCCTTGCTAGTCATGCGACCATACTTGTGAATGTACCCATGGGACCACGTTCACGGGGCTATGGTAATCATGCATGTGGAAATATCGTAAATGAAGTGAAAAAATTATGTTAATTTCATGATGGAAAGGAAAGCCTTTCCTCATATTTGAAGGAAGGTATATATGTATATCTAATCTAATATATATAGACGATCGGGCGGATTGGAATCATGACCCGCAACTGACCCGGAACGTGTTCGTCGACTGATCTTTGCTAATAATGCTGCTGAGCTTCAAAAATGCAAATAAAACTAAGCAAAGTATCACCAGTTAGACAATCATTTTTGGAACAAAATTCTAGGGTCATATACCATTCGAAACCCTTGATACCCCCTGTTGTCGAAGAAGAACTGCCGAAGAATTGCCGAAAGCTCGAACCATAAACAAACTCCTGATGAATGAATGACACTAATTCTAACCATGTTCTAGAGAAGTTAGAAATCTGAAACTTGGTACACATGTACCTTTTTGGGATGCAGAGTTCAGAAAAAATTCAACTTTGGAGGTATATGCCCTGGGGGTACACATTTTGGTGGGAGAAGGTTTAAAGATATATAGTGTGACGGATTAGGATGGCATCGAGAGGAGTAACGGAATGTCCCGGGTTTGGTGGTGTAGTGGTAGCACACCTGACTGGCCATCAGGAGTGACTGACTGGGAATCTCTGAAGCGTGATTTGCACCTTGCAGTGGACATAATCGCTGAAACTCAATTGCGAGAAATCGTAATCCAGTTCCCCCGACACTCTCATTCGTTCCAATTTTTATTGGAAATATTTTGAAATTGTTAAAATAGTATATTTTTGTGTCTCTAATATCCTATTATTTGTCTAACTGGTGATACTTTGCTTAGTTTTATTTGCATTTTTGAAGCTCAGCAGCATTATTAGCAAAGATCAGTCGACGAACACGTTCCGGGTCAGTTGCGGGTCATGATTCCAATCCGCCCGGTCCAGTTTCAACTCGGAAAAGGCAACCCTTGCAGTCCTCTGACGCGCAGAAAGACAGGAGGACTAGTAGAAACCACGTTTGCAGCATATTTTTCTGGACTTTTGACCCAATAAGTATCGCCTCCAGGTCATGAGCCTTCGATTGACACCTCAAATATTGAAATCTGTTCATCTGTCTAGGAGGAGCTTCCCAGAATGATTGACAGATAAGCTTGTTATGCACATGGATATGCAATCTAACGGCTGTTTTTCCTTCCCGCTTCCTTGAAGGAAGAAAGTGTATGAGTGTGGTGTTAGCCTAAGCGTCCATCCTTGGGTTAAACACAGGCCAGCAAAATCAGTCCCCCTCGAAATGGTTTAGGGTTTTACACGTTCACACACAAATTGGTCTGGTAGCTGCGACAGGAATGCCTGTATAGAGCGTCATACCTAGAAGGGCCGTTAGCGGTCATTTTGACCGCTGTTAGTGTTTCGCATAGTCAACAGTACGGCTCTTGCTGCTGACGTGTTTGGACATGTTTTTTGTGACCCTCGTATAGTACAGTCTATAAAAAATTATATATAAAAAAACAGTACGCCGCTCGCTGCTGAGGTGGTTGGGTGTGTTTGCACTTGCGCTCGTATAGCGCGGTCTGTGTCAATGGCTCGACTACAGAACTTCACTCCGGCTCAGATATTGGCAGAATTTCAAGACCTAGCGGAAAACCAGTCAGACATCGATGACACAAGCTCAGATATAGAACTAAACGGTAATGACGAGGATTTTATACCTCAGCTTGTTGGGAATTTGTCAGATAGTGATTCGGCCGATGAAGAAATGAACGAACCGGACGCTGCACCTACACCGGACGCAGGTGCAGCTGTTCCCAACAGTGCTCAACGCAGCGCCAGACGACGCGGTGGCAGACGATGTATGGGAAGCTCTACTCCACTTACGGCGGGCGATCAAATTCTTGGAAAGGACGGCATGACTGTTTGGACAGTTGTTGACAGTGGTGTGAATAATCCTGGAAGGCTGGCCGGACAGAACGTGCTGAAAGAGACAGCAGGACCTACGTCGCATGCTAAACGTGATGTTGCAGATAATAGCATGTCTAGCGCTTGGCGTTTGTTTATTGATGAATCTATATTGCGGCATGTGAAAATGTGCACCGAGACCGAAGCTCGCAGACAGAGCACGGACTCCCAAATTGGGAATTTTTCTAGTCAGCAATCTAACAGCTACTGGTGTAACAAGTTTCAACCTCTCATCATTTCTAGAACATGGTTGGAATTAGCTGCAGTCACTCAGTCACTGTATTATCTTTATGTATAAAATAAGTGACAGCCGAAAGAGGATTTTCTGCAATGTTCAGTCATGCTGAATGGTCACCTTCGTAATGGAAAATAGGGCTCACTTACATGAGATTCATGAGCACTCAAAATATTAGTAGTACCATAGGAAATGTGATGTCCACTGGAGTGGACGCAGGATCTGAAAGGTTTAATACCAGGCAAAATAATAACTATCTTGAAATTGTGACCACTTGGACTAATGCCCACACAAAATCATGTCAACAGGAAACATTCCCGTCATGACTTAAACAGTTTTTTCACTCGATTCCATGTAGTATGGAACATCCCATGTATGGGTGTCTGACACGCGAGAATATTGAATGTGAAGTTGAAAACATTATGTACGAATATAAATATACGCTATTAGCTCTGATGTTTCTATCTGAAATAACTTACGCAAGGAACACCTGGTTTTCGCTACACCAACAATCTCACTAGGAATGAAAGAGGACAGGAGGGATGGTGGCTTCTTACAGAGTTTCATATTTTTAAATAAGGCAGAGTATAAATATATTACGATAGGGAGTTGTTAGTATAGTAAAAGGAAAAAATAAGATAAGACATGTAAAGGACACAGATAAGGATGGGGATCTGCCAGAAAACTCCACTGAGATACTGGCATGTACGAGGGTACTTCAGAAGTTTTTGCAACTCTAATACCCTCAGAAACTGAATTAAATCCAAACTTCTATCACTTCACGAAATATCTTAAATCAGCTGATACAAATAATGTTTGTCTGCTAAACCAGATTTGAAAGCTTGTTTTAAAGCATTTTGAAGTGAATGTGGAAAACAGTCAGTTTCATATACAATTAATACCATTCTTTTGTGGAAAATCTCCTTCCCTTCGGTGGCTATTTCATTATTTGAAGGCCTAGAATCCACATGGATCTAAATCTAGAGGATCTATGGGGTAAGACAGTGTCTGAACTCCAGGTTCCTCTAAAACTCTTTTTTTTACATGGTCGAATTTCCTAAATTATTGAAGGAGGGTTTCTTACTCTATTATTTTGGTCCTTGTTTTCTCTAAGCGTCAAACATTTCAGACATGCAAGTATCTGCATACCAGCCTAAAACCATTGTATGTCCCTCATCATGACTGACGAGCATGAAAAAGTCTGCACTGGGATGATAAAGCCATGCATGTTTTTTCCAACACCTCCAGGTCTCATTACTTTTACAGGTTATTTTTTATCTCGAAACACCAACATCATGATTTGCCTCTTAGTGAGTGGGTCATTATGGTATAACCAGGTTTCTCCACATGCGATTAGGTCATTTAAGTGCTTCACCTCCCTTTACTATATTCTTCAACTTCAAGCTGCAGAAGGCAATGTGGTATACTCACCGGTTTTCATTCAGGGGATGAGGAATATAATTTGGATCCTGGTCCACCTACTTAAATGTGACGTGAGATATATCACTTACTTATGGTGTCATGACTTCAGGTTCAGATGTTACCACTATGACATAATTAAGCATCGTCTTTGAAGCCCTCCATACTCCACCTTAAAACATTGCTCCACCGAATCACTTTGCTGGGCAGTTCCACTGTAAAAAGTGGAAACAAATGAGTTCACAAAACTGTCATCAAACTTACATTTCCTGCACTATATGGATACCAACCTTTGACCAAATAAGCTCTCAGACATTCATTTGCTGAAGTGGGATGGTGTTTCATTACTCCTACACCATTCCATTTGAATTAATGTAGCACTCGATTGATGAATCCCGCTGTTTGAGTAATATGTTAAGTCAGTAACGGCGGAAAATTATCCTAGCATTCATTTTTGAGCAGCAAAAAGGGTCATTCTACATGAAGAAAGTTGCTTGTCCATGCCTTCTCTTCTGAAAATATTGAAGCATCAGATCAAGAAAAATCAGACAAATTGGAAGAAAAGCAACTGAACGAAAACCGTTGTCTAATCTACCTCGTATATTACGTCACTAGCACAACATGGATGGCCTTTCGTGTGAATGGAAATCCTTCGGAGAAATGATAAAATTCTGACCGGAATAGTTACATCTCTCTATGCTCTAATAGGCACTATTGAAGTAGAATTTCTAGACCAAACCATCATTAAAATATATATCACTAGTTCAGGTACCCGGCGTTGCAATTCAATACTTCAATATTTTATGCATGAAAAAGTGGGGAATGTCAACCTTATAGCTTTCTTTTATCGATCTTGGGTGTCGCAAAATGCGCTCATAGCGCTTTCCTTTCTTGTATCTATTTTTGTGGGGCGGGGGGTGACATTTTAAATTGTTTTTATATTTATGTAATTTTAAAAACATTTGTGAGATGTATTTATCTATTTGAAACATATTTTCGATGAAGACTCGATCGAAAGAATATAACTTGCCACCTACAGTAGTGATCCAGCAATGGAACTGCCCCAAAGTACTGTAATGCAGGCGGCCGGGAGGTTATAGTTGAATGGCATGAGAGGAGGAAAAGAAGGCAGGGGACGACCGGAAATCGAACCTGGGCCTCCTGATCGTCGGTCAGGTGTGCTACCACGGCACCATCGAATCCAGGAGTCATTCGTTCCTCCCAACGCCATCCCAGATACTACAATACCCCGGTAAAGTACCCCGGGAGTGAAATTTTTGGACGGAAACATAGTCATCGTCCTTCCCCTGCATGAAAGCAGAGGCCATGTATAATTTGCTTGCACTGGCTCCTGCAGAGTCCGAATGTATAAAGGAACAGACAGACAGACAAACTTTCTTATTTATATATAGAGAGAAGCAATCATACATGTTTTCATTTCGAGTCTGGTGTTACATCAGTAACTGAGAAACTGCCTTGGTATAGGTATGAGCACCGTCCCTTAGCACTGTTTCCATCTCATTAGGGTAGTCTTGGAATTTAAGGTTACTTTGAGGCTGTTGAAAATTACGATTTTTAGATCTTCTTTTACCTAGAACGGGGATATTAGTAGGCACCTTCCCAGTAGGTTGCGAACCCGTCTAAAAAAATTGTTCGACGGTTTTTCTACATTATATGGGGCGAACAGTTTTACAATTCAGTACGTAACTTACAGGGACTTAGAAGAAACATGAATAAAAGCATAGCCATGGGAAAATATATAGTTTTTCAGTTGCAAAACTTTTGAAATAACCCTTGCATTGCTCATATCATTGGTGTAGAGTCATTTCTAACTCAAGACTATATCCTTTGTGATGAGGTACTTTCGTTCAACGAGAGTTCGATAATAATAAAAAACTATCAAATTAAAGTACAAACGATAAACCGCAGCGCCCTCAGAGACTTCGCGTGAAATTCCAATATTTCCTTTTCAAGTGCAGTTGAACTCTTTAACTCAAGGCTGAGCATCCTATGGATGGGCTGACTTTCTGAATATATATATATATACTTTAATATGTACTTAAAAACAAATATATTTATCCATATTATATTAGGATATGCGCAACTATAGGACTCCTCCAACGGATGCTAGTAGAACCAACATTGTTGGAAATGATGTGAATTCAGGGCATAATTTCCTAGATGAATTTATTATTTTTGTTAGGTTCGTGAGGTTAACGCGAAACACTTTCGAGGCCTCCTAGAGTTTTATATTTATTATTTTTCGCTGCTGATTTTTCCTTTTTTGGAGAGAGTGCCTATTCTTGGACTTCTCGATACATTTTGAAACAGACCAGAGACTCAGATCATGGTGAAGTAATAAAAAAAACATTCTAGGAGTGTTGAAGTGGAAGAAGTTGTCCGAGTGTATTTTTGAAGATATGGAGAATGATTGAATAGCATTGATATCCTTTCCGTCCGACATTCTCGCCATCTGGTTGATGTACAGGTAGTTATTTCATCTATTTATGGTGCCTCCCATAAATCTCCTAAAGTAGGAATGGATTTGCGCATTTTGGATAATGTCCTCCCACAAATGTGTTATATATTCCATTTTTTATTTTTCTTACTGCAGCCCAGATCTCTAGGGGAGATCTGAAAAGCAACTCAACCTCAGTTGCGCTTTAAATTGTTAGTCACGATGAGAAGCTTACTCAGGAAAACCCCTAATCGATACTCGCGTCTCTAGTAGTGCATCGCTTGCGAGATGTATTGAAATATGAAGAATAGACCTTCCATTGGAATTCGGGAAGTCTCAGGTTGAGGCGATTGCACATCGACAAACCTCGGTGTATGGGTATGATTCCCTTTTGTTCGAATTATTTTCCCAAGATAACTTCCAAACTAATTGCTTGTCGATTGCATTCCTCTCTGGCCCGGCTCTTTTGCCGATTATAATCCCAGCAATCTACATTCGACGCATCGAATGAATTAAGGTTAAAAAACAATTTCCTTGCTTATATCTTTCATACAGTAGGTGGCAATTATCTCATTACACTTAAGTCTGTTGTCAAGATTCAGCATCGATGCACTTCGTATTTGGCATCAACCCTTACGAAAAATCCACACATGTGGACTACACTAAGTCCAACAGAGGATTTGGATGAATCCACCAGTGATTCACATGTGGTCCACATATGGATTAAGAGGATCCACATAGAGTCCACACGGGGATATTCTTATGTCCACATTATTCCTCCTGTGGACATGTCCACATCAGTCTACAATAGTCCACATTAAGTCCACACTATTCCACATGGCTAACTGTCATTCCACATGTGGATGCCCCGGAGAATTTGGACAGTCCCCCGGTGGACTACAGGGGGATTTTTCGTAAGGGAACCTGCGGAGTTATTCGATGTCTCTGCAATGGTAACCATCGAAAAACTCCCAGGTAAGTCTAATACAGGTATCATATTCTTATCATTTGATCCCGTGAGATAACGGCACCGGCGTTAGAACCCAGTGGAAGGCGTATGGCGGCATTTAAAAGTCAAGTGGAAAGTCAAGCCTTCTACCTGTATTCGCCATTGCACCTATCCGTACCCGCGTACACAATTTCATAACTTATAGATCTCGGCACCAACAACGACAAAGGAGGGTAGAGCGGCGACAAATAATGTGATAGAGGTACGATTGCCACCAATGTACAGGTTCGGTACGTGTCATGTGACAGTCGAGGCAGAAGGATACCACGTTTTTGAATCCACGGTTCTCATGCAATAATCCACATGATGATGCGGGAAATCAACGAGTGCCAATGTCATGCTCATTCTGCCATGAAAGGAGGTGGAGAGGACATTGCGTTTTGTGATGTGGTTTTGCGTCTTCTCACACTATTTCATTTAATTTCCAGAAAGCATAAGAATGCATGTTTCCATATTTAGCATTTCACTAAACTTCGAGGACCAGATACTCCTTTCTTGACCTTTTCCACTCGAATGGGGGAGTATACTCGCCCATTGGTACATTGACTCTTGCAAAAGTTCGAGTGGAAAAGGTTAAAGACCAGAGAAGCCAGTAAAAGCCAGGTGAAGGCTCTTACCCTGAAATTTAATGCAGTGTGCATTAAAAGCAAACCACTGAAATGAAGGAAAACCCAATAACACTGGAATCACATAATATTTGATACAATGAATTGATTCTTCGACACTACGTGGCAAACATTATTGGTTCTCAACAAAACGGGAAAATGTTCTTTCACATGAGGATGTGAGGATGCTTCACATGTCCTGAATTGCGTAGTATAAAACTATACCATCTTTGGCATATAGTAATGGATTGTGAGGCTCCATATCTGAGGAGGATATTTACAAAGACAATAATGTGCACAAAAGTTCTAGGGATGAACTAGCTCCGACATAAAAACCTTATTATGCTCATTTCACAGATCGCTCTCAGAAAACATGGGTAGCCGTTTTGCTTTGGCCCTTTGTGGTAATTTACTCCTCATTTTCCACCAGTCCTTGGCGTATGTGTTCAGCTGCTAGGAATAGTATTGGACTTTATCTTAATTTCGACGTTTCCCTTGGACTGGATCCTCTCCAATCCACTCATGAGATAATCTTCAAATAGCACTTTATGGTTTCTGTATTTGCTATGTGTATGAAGTTGAGGATGGGCACTTTGATTGTTGCTCTATTAGGTAAGACAACAAGAGCATTCGTGTTCCTGGAAGAACATACTGTAGCTAATTATCAAGCAACTCTTGGATTTTCGTGTTGCATATATGTAATTATAGTGACTTAACCCTTTCACACCTGAATTAAGGCCGCTATCGAAATAAAAAACTTTTTTGAAGCCCCTTTTGCTAACCTTTTATGTTCTTTGTATAATTGTTATATTTTGTATAAATGTACCATATCATATATTATATATACGTCTTATATGTAATTATATAACTGAATATTACAAAACTTATGTAAGAGAGAAGGCATCCTATGGAATTTAGACATGCATACTTGCGCCAATTGTAGTGTAATATGTGGCGCAAAATCACGAAAATCCCAATAAATTTTTCTTTGAAACGAATGAAAAGACGACGCCATTAGAATGGACGCAGGTTCTGAAAGGGTTAACCCTTTGGTGTCCGAGTATTTTGGATAAATTAGCACTATCATCGAAGTTGTTTCCATCCCCTCAACATGATGCCAACACGAGATAAATCGGGAGTGGACCCCAAAGGGTTATGGACAGGAGAGTTCTTTAAAATGGCCTGAATACATGCATTGAAATCCTTTTGCCGGTTCAAAAAGGTTTGGTTTTACTTTGTAATGTGCATACTCATGGCAAGGATGACTAAATAAAAGGTAATATAATATACAATCAACTTTCTATAACTCGAATCTCCTCAGCTCGAATTTCTCCATGACACGAAGTCATGGCCTTACACTTCGAAATTATCAGGGGGAAAATGCTTTTTCCTCTCATTTTAACTCCGCCTGTTCTAGGAGAAATTTATTGATATATCTTGATTAATTCCAGTACAATTCATATATTTTCTGTACAAATGCACGGGCGAACAATAACATCCCATACGAACTCAACCAAGCTCAACCATCTCGGATTTAAGAACAAAACTCTAAGCGATTGCATTCAATCTAGCATCCCAGGACAAAAAGGAATCGACTTCATCGGATCGGCGCTTAATGAGATATCACCCACGAACTTTGGGGGAAAACGGGAAGCCCCCATGGCAGTGGCAGCTAAATTTCCATCCCAGGAACCATTAATCTTTTCGGGGCGTGCAATAGCTTCAACCGGAGGTCTTAAATATCTGAACAACTCTCCATATATCCACATTTGAGTTGTAATAAGATTTCAGCATAATATTGAATAGTTGAGTTTGAAAATGAGACATTTATGCCATTTTCACCCCAGAGGCATCTCGTGTGAACAAGGAAATGAAAATTTTCTCGTTATGGTTTATTTTACTTCTCTCTGAGGTGCATCGATGAAGTTACTTTTTAGAATTTTTCTCAGCTTCACAGAAATTTTCATCTTAAAGTTCGAATTTTCAGATGTTTGTCATCTTTGGCCGAGTGTTTCTGAATGTTACGGAACACCTATGCCATTAGAAAGGGGAGTTTAATATATTTTCAACGATATATGATTTTCTGAGCCATATTCACAAAAAAGTATTCAAAGGAAACCTCGGTTGCGAAGCAAACGATGTCCGTTGGTTAAACGATATAACGTGAGCGAACGTGTCCGTTACATATGCCGTTACCTATCCCGTTTCGACTCAAGTCTTCCTCATCATCCGAGGATGTATATTTTCAAAATGAATTTTCCAAATCGGCCACAAAAAAGGGAGGGGATGCAACTTTCACGGAAAATCGGAGATTCGCTCTCGTCTCGCTATCTCTCGGAATTGCGAGCAGACGAGAGTTGCCGTTGTAATCGAAAAGGAACGGTGGCATCGCTCACCGTGATGCATACCCCCTGCTGCCGGAAATCCTGGTTTTTTAAGCGTCCATGATGAAGTAGGGGTAATATATTTTGATTCAACTCCATTCGCATTCGCCCCCTTCAGTACATTCACTGATAGGGTGCCGAAGATAATCACGGGACAATGACACCTGCAGGTTTTCTACATACTAGTAGGCAGTCCGTGGAAAAGCAGGGAAATATTTACAGGGGCAGAATGCGCACATGGCCATGGGAGGCGGTCGCAGCACTCCCGCCCCCCTGCCATCCCTGCCTCGCGGCTGGCCATGTGAGAGGACAAGATGGACCCAAAGCACTCTTAATTTCCCGGTCTGCCCCTGCGCTTCGTTGATTGTCAGTGCGAAGGACGGGGAACCGACGCCAAACGAATACGAAAGTGTAGCCCAAAGATCAAGCGTTACCTTAAATCGCCTTCTCGTAGGACAATGTGGTATGTCTGTTTTTATTGGCGGCCTCACGCAACTCATATCGGAACAGGCCGTGCATGTTTTCGAACGTTTATGGTCTCATGCCAGGCTGCGTGTACCTGTTACTATGGCTATGGGAGAGCCACTGAGCTAATAAATAACTGGAGATGGCGCACCAATAGGAACAGTATAGGCATGCGTGCTGCAATTGAAAGCCATTCTTGTTGGGCTCATGGCCTCAGTCACCATTCACTCCTATCGGATTCCATGATTTTTCAGGCCAACTTTCTTCTAAATACTCGTTCTAACTTTCAGGATAACAGTCCCTACACAACAGGCACAATAGGTTCTTAGAGGAACCAGTAAGCCCTATCGAGTCGTTCCAATACTTTTTGATCATGAGTATTACACATATATTCATGATTATATACATGAATATAGGTGTAATACTTCAGCATTGGCTGATGGCAGAAAAGAGCGACTGAGAATAGGTTAGAAAACTGCCACGATTCACATGCGAAGTGGTTAATAGGGTTTAAAGCAGGCCTGCTGTGCGCATTGGCGGAGTGAAGGAGCTGGTACCGCGGAATCATTGCAACAGCCCTACTGAATACGGAAGCATGCCCTGGCAGGACTCACCTACACCTCTACCATGCACCTTGTGGTCGCCCTTTGTCTTCTTTCACTTATGTTTGCCTTTCAACGTTCACTTCGTCAAATTAACTGTAGTTCGTTTGACTTCATTTGACTCACACCGGGTGTAAAATGGGTCTACAGTGATGATTCGAGGGCGGCGTAACCTTATCACCTTCGCACGCCAAACAATCTTAGCAAAGACAAGCCCGGAACTTGAGGCCCACTCGAGAAATTGGAGATAAAGAAACGGATCGTAACGACGCCGCCGACGTTGTCGTCGATGAAGAGCAAGCGCTCCTGTGGCATACAGGAGGGGTGCGCCGTTTTCAACCTCGGGAGTCACTCTCCTTGTGAGGAATAAAAGGATGGGTTTTCGATTGATGAAGGGGTCGGTATCCCGATAAATATATGAGTGGAGATCTCTTGCCAGCGAGGAAGTCATCCTTCAGAGATGAAAGAGGACTCCCACCGAAATACGTGGGGATGTTTTACACGTCCCTGCGGAAAAGTTCGTACGTACCCCTCAAAGTAGAGAGCGGGAGGTGTGCATAGAATGCCTCTCTCCCGTTATGTTAGGGATGACATGGAGAAATACTTTTGCTAGGCATGGGTTCGGTGGTGTAGTGAAAGCACACTCGAACGGCAATATGTAGGCCTTGGATTCGATTCTCGCTTCAATCTTTTTATTTTCGTCCTGGTATGTCACCCGATTTGTATGACAACCCGGGGGAATTCCCCATCCCCCGGGCTATTATGTTCTCCAGAATAGATACGATTG